TGAGCATTTATAATGCAGTGGACAAGCAAAGAAATCTTAATTTTACTTTCAATGAGAAGAACTTGACCTATTACACAGTGCCAAAAGCACTAGCTTCCTCAGGGGTGATGAGGTAACCTTGCTAAGGCAAAATATCTGACCTTCAGACTAGCTGTTTACTGACTTGGGAATTGGAAATTGGATTATTTTTACTAAGTGAGGAGGATTCCTCTCATTGCTCCTTAAGTACCTCCTGTGGGACTTAGTGTGTTCGAGGTGGAATTAGCTTTGTGAGAATCAGATTTTGTTTTAATTATTTGTGTTTGTTTGGGTTTTTTCATTGCTATCAGACCCACATCCCTCCAGAAGTACTTTTTCAGGAGTTCAAAGATTTAGACATCTTTACTTACCCTTCATATTAGATTTAAATAAAGACAATATTAGCCAAAAAGCTCCCCACCCCCACCCCCCCACCATGAAACATGAAGAGAATCAATATTTCACAGCAAGTCTATATAAAACACAAGCTATGTGAAGTATGGCTACATTTGGGCTAGAGTTTTGACATTATTTGAATAAAGAAATCTGGAGCATTTAGTCTTGATTATAAAACCCTGAGGAATACCCTGGGTGTTTCACCACATGCTAGGAGAGATGATGGTAGAAAACTGGCAGAAGCTATCTCTTCCCACCCAGTTTAACTGATTCAGACAGGGCAATTTTGTTGGAAGAGTCTGCTGGCAATCAATATGTCTCAGCTTGCTCTTATATGCATTGCTGAGAAGAGAGAGAGCTGGTAGAAAAGAATCAAGACATTAAACTTTTTCTATTCTAGTTTAAAGCTTATGAAAGCAAATGATCTCCAAGGCACTAATCCTTTCACCTTGGTAAACATGCAACAAATCTAAATAGAAGAAAAACAGAATGACTCCTCCCTGCTCCTTCTCCTTCTGCAACAGTACTGAATCTTGCAGGCTGCATAATGGCATCTGCCTTGCTAGTCCACTGCAGCCATCCATAAGGCTCAAATTTGTAAAAAAAAAAAAAAAAAAAAAAACAAGAAGAAAGACAAAAAAACTACTTTCAAGGGAACAAAAGAAAAGGAAGGATATGCATTATCAGACACAAAACCAGCACTTTGCCCTACATGAACAAGTTTTACAAATATGAATCTTTTCTAGTAGCATCTTTGTTACAGCTAGTGACAGGTACCCATTACCTCCTGATCTGCCTGTCTTTACTGGCACTAATTCTTCAAGTAAGTAGAAGAACATGGCTTTGAATAACAAACAATTTGAGATGTTGCTTGTCCCTAAGTCATTATTTAGCAGAGTTTCCTTATTGACCAAATATTTTTGTGCATGATATAAACAAACCTGAGCCCTGGAGGCAATAAACACAATCAGGATTTTTACGTGAGGTATTTGTTTACTTATTTAATAATATTAATGGATTATCAGCAATTTAATCTGGCAGCTCAGATGACACTATACCCCTCTGGAAACACAGCATCAGGTCGAAGTAGAAAACTTTCTCTTTGTTCCTTTAAGGAACAAACAGTGTCCTAAAAATAGCCTTTTGTGTATAGCCTCCTAAGGTTATAGTGAAACAAAAGAGTAGTGAAATTTACAAAAGCTCTAGTCAAGTATAATATACAGGATTTTAATCAATAATACTGCATGTTCCTTTGCTGAAGCTGTAGGTTAGCAAACCATCCCTGTCTATCTTAGAAACAGTTTTCTAAGAGCTGCCAGTCCACTCTGCCCTTTTTACATCCATTGATTTCTTAGAAAAGATGGTTAGGTATCAGTTGTTTGCTGGCTATGTGTTACACACAATGACCTGATGCTCTGGCTTTAATCACCGTGGGCCGACTGTGATGACAGGCAATTGAATCGCAGAATCATAGGATGGTTTGGGTTGAAAGGCACCTGAAAAAATTAGCTAATTCAGCTCCCTGCTATGGACAGGGACACCTTCTACTAGAGCAGGTTGTTCCAAGCTCCATGCAACACCACTTCCAGGGATCGGGCATCCACTTCTCTAGGCAGCTTGAGCTAGTGCGTCATCATCCTCACAGCTGAAGATCAGTCCCAAAAGTTCAGTGCCACAAGAATAGGAAATGGAGATGACTGGATTAAATGAAGATTATCTTGAAAAAAATAATTTTCCAGTATTTTACATGATAGCTGATCTCACTTTTTTTTCTTGGTATTGGTTTGTGGTAGAACACTGATTGTCACAGTTCAAGACAAATTTCTCCATGCTTTAGCATTTTCCTTAAAATGGTGTTCCAGACCTGCTAACGTATATCTATCTGATGCATATGAAGACAGAAATTACACTGATGAAGCAGGCCAAATTCAGCCAAATCCACCTAATGTGTGGCAAGAGGCACTGCTCTGCACCAGACACATTCCAGCGAATAGATTTCCTCCTAATGCTCTGCCGACAGGGAGCCTGCAGGGGAGCAGTAGGAGCTCTGTTTTCTATCATGAAGCTCCAGTGAAGAGCATTTTTAGATGCACTTTCATGCTTCCCTTGCACCAGTCAATCCAATAGGAGGATTTCATTATCCCACTGCAATGGGACTGTGGCATATAATATAAAGAAAAAAACAAATGGAGCAATTGATAATACAAGCATAGGGTTATTGGCTTGGTGATGTCTTCAGTCCCTGTGCATCTCACTGAGGCTGCACTCTGATTTGCCTGCCTCATATTGCTCTGTCGGTGGCATTTCCATGACTAGTTTACTCTGGAGTTTCAGTCAAAAAGCAAAGCATGTTTCTTGAGAAATGTGTGGGAATTTTTCCTCTTCAGACTCTTAATGAGTTAAAATTAGCTGGTGCAGAAAGATGATAGGAAGTTCTCTGTCTCACGTGAACTCCATAACCTGGGGTAAAATCTGAGATCAGGAATGAGATTCTCCATTCATTTGCATTGCATATTTGGCTAGTGGCACAGGTCAGCACACAGCAGGGAAAACTTCTATCAGGAGACCAGCCATGTGATTGCACAACACAGTCACCAGTATTCTCCCCACAAGTAGTGTTTCAGGAGCCTCAGTGAACAAGACCTACAGCACAATCTCAGCCTTCATAACCAGCTTGGAATTTCTTCTTCTGCAAGCCTTAATGCAGCACAGTCATGCAAACATTATTGCTCCTCCAAACAAAAGAGCTAGGCAGACTATTCTGCGGGCAAAATGACAAAAACAAGCCACTGGTAGTTTTTTATAACTAGTCACACTATTTCAATGTGTACTTAAAAATATTTTCCTTGCTGTATGAAGCCATGAAACCACAATAAAGGTACTCAGTATTTTCTTGTAAAGCATGTGTACACACAAAGAGCCTAAGAATCCCCCCATGTCATCTGAAATCCTGGAACTGTGGTTAATGCAATCTGCATGCTGAAATACCAAAGCATGCTTGGACTAGCTTGAGAGAGGCAATTAGGAATTTCCTCACTTCGTTGCTTCATCAAGCACTTTAAAGGAATTTAGAGCTTTTATTTTTTTTCCCTGCAGAATGAAAGTGTGACATGCTCTCACTATAAAAAATGTTGACTAATTCCAGAAGCCATTCACAAAGGCTATCCAATCACCTGGTTTTGAGGGGTGGAAAAAGGCAAAGAAACAGCTTTGGAACATGTAGAAAATTTGTCTACAACTCTTTGATAGGATAATATTCTATTACATTGCTACTATGATAATACCATTATTACAGTATGCATGGGGGACTCCACCCATGATCTTACTTCAGGGTATGGCACCAACACATAATTATTTCAATGGTAATGGTGTAATGGTGAACCAAAAGGCTCTATTTTTCATATTGTGTTTGGAGAAAGAAAAAGGAAAAGAATGTTGTTCAAAGAACCGCACGAAAGTGAACGTTTATTTTGTGCTGAAGATTTAATTATTTAGATACAGCTGCATTTATTCAAATTTTCATCTATCATATCACAATGACCTTGGAACTTTCATAGAAAACACAGAAGTGTGGTCCATCTACCTCAGTATTCTGTCTCCAATGGCCAGCATCAGAAGCTTCTAAGGTAGGCAGCTGTTAGAATATCTCTGCCCATGACACAATATCTACTACACCCTCTCCCAGTGATTAAGGCTGTATTCTACCCTTAATCCCAAAGACAAACACTGAAACATAAGATTTTCTGTTAATATAAAAGTTCCTGGGTTTTGAATTGTGCTTTATATCCATATCAATTTAGTTGTTTAATCTCAAATTGTCTCTGATTTCTAGTCACCAACAATAGCCCATTTTAATGAGAGCTAACTGCAAGACAGGGGAAGTATTTCTTTTTCTGTGTTGAATTTGCTATCTTTGGGGGACACTGAGTGGTGTCTCAGTTTGTAATTTTTCTGGCCTTTTCAGACTTTGCTATTTCCCTAACCATTTTGCCCAAATATTTCAGCGTCTGAACCAAATGACAGGCAAAGCAGCATGGTTAGTGCTCAGGAGCCTAGTGAGCTGCAAGAAAGAAAAACGGGAGTTACTTGTTACTTACTGCATCAGAAGTAGTTGAAAGACATTACAACTAAGATGACACTAAATAGTGAAGGATTAAACATGCAAAAGTGCAGGAAAAACAAGTTTTTAGGAACCATATTGCCGGGAAAGGGGAAGCAACCCTGCTTAAGCATGGACTCTTTCCTGCTTTGCTTGTGCGGACAGCAAAGCAGGTAGGAATGAGAGGAAAGGGAAGTGCTGTCTGTCAGAGACAGCTCACTTGAGTCAGCCCTGAGCATGCAGGGCACCATCTATAACTGAAAGGAAAAATCAGAAGAGACAAAGCCAGATGGTTTGACCCTAGCACCATGTGTTCTTCTAGCAGAGATTGACCCTTACACATTGTACCTTTTCAGCACTCAGTTTTGCCCATTTTCCAGAAATCCTAGATTAAATTCTGCTCATCAGTGTTCCCATTTCAAGATTTTATATGGTAGTTGAAGAGACAGATGGCATAGGCTGGTATAAATATAGTAATTTTTTTTTCCCCACACAGAAATTACAGACTGTTAAAGAGTTGGAATGGACTTCAAATATGGACTTCTCAACCCCCCTGCCATGTGCAGGGACACCTCCCACTAGACCAGGTTGTTCAAGGCTTTATCCAGTCTGGCTTTGAACATTGCCAGGAATGGGGCATTCCCAAAGTCTCTGGGAAACCTATTCCTATCTCACCGCTCTCAAGGTAAAAAATTTCTTCCTAATGGCTAGTATATTTTCCCCCTCTTTCAATTTGTACCCATTACTGCTTGTCCTATCCCTACAGTTCCCAGTGAAGGGTCCCCTTCCTTGTGTCCTCCTTTTCCTCTCCCTGTTTCCTGGTTTCTGTCTCCCAGTTTCTCTGTAGGCCCCCTTCAGACACTGGAAGAATGAGGAAGGAAGATACTATGAGGTCTCCACACAACCTTCTCCTATAAAAACTCATTCAAACATTACAAACGTGATTTATCTAAAAACAAATTTAATGGTTAGCCTAAAAGCTATATCATTTTTCTAACTTGCATTGAAAGCAGCATATATTGAATATATTCAACGTATTAAATATATTACCCTTCAGCCAGTAGTCTCTACAATTTGATCTATTGTTCAACAATGTTTCTAAATTACTGGGAAGACGGTGAAGAATCATCTATTTCCTTATGTTTTCCAGCAGCCATGCCAAAATCGGAAGCTGAAAAAAGTCACTTAAAACTAAAAAACATGTTGCAACTAGTGGAAACGTTTTGGAAATGCAACTTTAATTATCAGCTAAGAGATTGCAGTAAGGAGTCTGCCAAAAGGAACCTTCCATTCAAGTGCAACTGATGATGTGATGAAGGACAGCTGACAAATCACCTCTAGGGAATAATTTCTCTACCATTGAAGCTGGTTAGGGCATAGGGAAGCATTTGAAGAATCTGTTCCTTGCTCAGTCCAAGCCACAAAACTAAGTTCACTGCCGTTTTTAAGCCCAACAACTGCAGACCAGCTCTTAGGGTTGGGAACTCTTTTGGACGGTGGTACATAACTTCTGGGAGTACCAGGAATGGTTTGGGTCTTAATTGCCCCACACAGATAGGTGCTGCTGCCTTTTGTAGGAAAGAAAAAACAAAGCACTCATGAAGACAGGCAGGAAAAAACATTTTTCCATAAAACCCCAGAAACAAAACAATGTGCCCAAACCTGACTTAAGGAAAAAGCTCAAATCACAACAGGACTGTATCAAATTTTGTCCTAGCCAAGATCCATGCTCTAATAAAAAAAAATAGCTCAAGTGTTTTCCATCAAGGATGGATGGGACTATATCCATCCTGTGGCAGCATCCCTTCTGTGCAGCACAGAGACCCCTCACAGGCCTCTCTCTCAGTGAGCCTATGCAGCCTCTGCTCATCTTCTTACCAGGAAGGGGACATGGGTAAAAAGAGAAAACTTTCTTATGATGGCATATTTCATATTCTACAGAAACAAGTTTTGGGTTTTTGTAAGTAAGTGGTTATTACTCAGATTTCCATAATCATGTTATCAATAAGGCAATTACCTGCGCAGACATATTCACAATATTGAGATTTTTGATACTGTAGATAGAGGCGAGGTGGGATTTTCAAATTCACATAGGAATTCATTTTCCCTTGATATTATATGGATATAAGCAACAGAAAATCTTATTATCTGTCTGCATTTTTAGGTGCTAAGTACTTTTAAATTCTGATTCTTAAAGACCAAGACTAAAATCTTATATCTGTTTAAATGTATGACAGACTCCCATTCATTCCCAGGACATCATCTTAAATCTTTATTCAAGCATCTAAATATTCTGTCTTAATAACTATTTAAATCTGTAATGGCTCTCATATTTAGGTAAATATAGATCCTAATGTAAATTTTGAAATTTAACAGCAGACCCATATTTTAAGAAATCCTGCCTGTAACAATACATGTGACAATTTTTATTATTTTAGTAATTTTAAAAGTGCAGAATACCCAAATATAGACCATTTTTTGAACATTAAAATAGGATTAAAATGTCATGTGTTGTAATCCTGGATATGTATTTTTCTTTTTTTTTTTTTTTCAGGGCAACACATGATGCAGATTAGAATGCTCTACAGCAAGATTGTATCTGCAGAATCTTATAAAGATTCATTTTAGGGAGTTGCAAATTTGATCTATCTTCAATGTAGGGTGTAAAGGTAAAAAAAACAATAGGACAAGTATACTGGAACAGCATGACTGCTACAGGAAAGATTTGGAAATATTTTTGCAATATTGTACCTAAATCTGGGGCAGCACGGGGTGAGCTGGTTTTGTAACTAACTTCATTTCTGTACTAAGACAGAACTTAATTTTTTAAAATTTTTAGAAATATTAAAAAGGATGAAAAAAGAACAATGTAACACTTGAAACAGCCAAGCTACTCTAGTAAATAGATATTGTTGTTTGAAAATGAATGCGAGGTTTTAATTATTGATTTTAAAAATTGCTCTTGGTCTGACACCTGTTTCAGTTTCTGTCCAGATCAATTTTTACAACTGATATAGTTTCTGAACAATAGAGTCCATTACAAGACTAGTCTCAGATTCTAAACTATGATCAGGTTCTACTATAAAGAAAAGTATAGAAGCTCCTAGGATTACTGCATTTTCCTTTGTTTGCTTACAGTCCTATACAAAATAAACCCCAAAACAACCCACTGAAGATAAATTCATTACTGTTGCTGTCCTGCAGAGCATTAATAGGTTTCAGAAATTAAACTCTTTTATTGATTTGATTAAGTCAAAGGAAAAAGGAAAAACCAAGGTTTCCATGAATAATTCAGATTAACACCATATCTTCAAAGGTCATATGTAAAACATTATTATACATCAAAAGTTCCTCACAGTCTAACATACATTTAATTTTCAATAATGTTGATTTATTGTTTTATAAAGCAAAATAATAAATATAATAAATTACCCTTATATTTTCTGATCTCAGTCACTATAAAATAACTGCTGTAGTTTTACATTTTCAGTATTAAATATTAAATACATAAATCAAAACAAGATTATTTTTCATCTGGAGCTAGCTGGAAACTGGTTTCTGAAACTGACAAATTCATTTTAGATAAATGAATGTTTTAGGAAAAAGATCTTTACTGAGTCCATAGCAGAGCTCTAAAAGAAACAAGAATTCTGTGTTCTATAATTCTGCTTTACTTGGCTTCCCTGTGACAGGTGCTGAGTCTTGCAAATGCAGTGGCTGGAAGCAGCTCCAAGTTTCTCAGAAGTTCCAAGTTTCTCCTGTTCTCCTTGCCAATATTCTCAGTGCCTTTGTCTGCTCAAAGATCACTTCTCTTCATGGTGCACAGCAGCATTGCTGCTAGGCTGACATCCTTCTTAGCTGAAAATTCTGTTAGGAGATGTTTGTATACATACCTACATATGTAGGTATGTAACCATTCCTAAAAATAATTTTTCACTGAGAAGGACATTAGGAAATCAAGAACTCTTCTGATGTGTAAAAGCAGATTCAGCTGGTTTTGCACTGATTTTGTCTCAACAGAATCTTCACTGAGAGCTAGAAACACTGCTTTGCATCCTTGATTAAAAAGAGTAAATCTAATTCTAAGGAATCATTATAACATTTAAATACCATTCAGCTCTTAGTGTACTTAAACATTCAACCACAAGAAGCTTTCAAAAGGAGTGATGATAATAGAATACTAAAGAATTTCAGGGTGCATGAGTGAATAGGAAGGAAAGAAAACCTGGGTCTACATGAGGCTATACATTAGACTGTTCCAGAAAACAGGACCATACCCAACATGCTTGCCCCAGGGCCTTGTCTGAAACCTGGGCTAGATCATATTTTGGCACCTTTTTTAGTGTGGAATTCTGTTTGTGGTCTACACACTTTTTTTTTTTTTTTTTTTTTTTTTCAATTTTAAGACACTTTTAGGCTTAGAAACAATACATTAAAAGTACACCACAGCAACAAAGTATGGAAGAAGCCAATCAAACAGTACCTTTTAAAGGTATTTTCTTACCTTTTCTTTTGAAGAGATAACACTGGATCTTCCTTGGTCAATACATTTGAGAAGTACTTGCAAGAACACAAAGAATAAAAGTTGATGAAAGAATGTGCCTAGTATGGGCCAGTCAAGACCTTTTATCTTGGACTGTTTCTTGTTGGTTTTTTGGTGTTTTTTGTTCTTTATTTCAGACTAATTTCTTTAATTTTAGGAATCAAGGGAAAAAAAATCAAGCTTATCTAAGCTATTGTGGAGATGTAGCTCACATCCATGTGACCGATTCTTGAGGGGGTGTCCCATAGTTGAATATTTCCATAAGCTGGTTGGTAGCTTACTGAGTTACTTACACAGACAGGAAATCTTCAAGCACGTTTTTCAATTTTCTGCTAGAAAGATAACATTTAAAAAGCATTTATGAACAGAGAAGAAAGCAAAATTTTGCTATTGAGTTTGCTATTTGAGGAAGAACTATTGGAATTAATATAAGTATTTCTTCAGTAATATTACTTTTTTATTGCTGTTTAGTTCCTTAGCCTTTATTTTGTAGGTGTCTTTCAATAGATCTGATTGGTGCATTTAAATTCTCAGCCTATCATTTCACAATTGAAAATAGCTCTTACAGGAAATGAACTTATATTTGCAGTATTTTAGTATTGAGAGAGCAGGTTATTCTTTCCCCTTTTGAGTCATTGGGAGACAGAGGCAAGTGGATATCATAAATTAATTAAACTCAGTCAGGAACTTCATTAATGATACCTGTAATTCTCTGAATTGATGCAGAGCCAAATCGCAAGATCTTAATGTGACTCTCATTAAGACAAAAATCCACTCAGGTAACTAGGAATTCTATTTGCTCAAGACCTAGGGAAGGGTTTCAGTTTGGCATATTGTGGTTTCAGCCCTTCAGCCCAACCCTTACAAACCCAAAAGGCAATGAATCTTGATACCATCCAGTTATTTGCAGACTAGTTTGATCTGACAAGAGAGATGGTATGAAATCGGGAGTAAAACAAAAGAGCAATGCACAACATATACTGGCTGAGAAGCTTCTTTGCAGCATTAAGATATTTTAAATTTTGAATCCTCTGGAGTCAAAGTGTCCAGTAAACTACGAGTAGATTTCCCACAGAAAATATTACATGAATAGTTATAGAAAACTATGACCAAATGCAGAAAAAACAAAGTATCTGGCTATTAGCTTTGGCCAATCCATCTTAAAATAATATGAAAAGACATAGCCATTAATTTCAGTTATTCAGTCTTGGAATCCTGCTGGAAGCTTCAAGGCAGTCAGTGATACCACAACAGCTGGAAAAAAGCAAGTATTCACTGACATGTGAGGCAAAGATGGAGCATGTAAATGATCCCAGAATTAATTTTCTCTGTGTCTTGCATTTCTCTGTATGCCATAAAATGTGTCCCCCTGCCTCTCATTTCCCAGTAGCCCAGATGTAGATGAAATATGATATTTTCCTTCAATTTTCTTTTACTAAATGAGAAAGTATACCTCTACTAAACAGCAGTTACCTCATAGAAGCAGAAAAAATACAAGAATTTAGAGGATCAATAAATCCACTGACAAAACCCCCATAGATTTCTAACACATCCAGAATCCTGTACTAAGTTGTATAGTTGTTTACTTATAATTTCCCTTCCAAATTCAAGCCCAAACCATGATCCATAAAATTTATCAAATCAGCAATTGTGTGAGATGACTTTGATGACTTTAAAAGTGCATTGGACACTCTAATTTATATGTATAGTTAAGCAACAGTCTTTGTTTTGTTCCACTCTTACCATTTGCGATTTAATATTGTATGACTGCAGCACACTGTCTGATTAGATAAGTATGTATATATTATGCATGTACAGACTCATATCAAGCAACCACAAGAAAAATTGTATTGCAACATGCTGTCTCCCTCAAAGCAGTTCTTTCTTTCTTTCTTCCTTCCTTTTTGTCTTCCTTTCTTTCTTCCTTTCTTTCTTTCCTTTCTCTCTCTCTCTCTCTCTCTCCCCCCCAAACAAATACAAGAAACAAAAAAAAGCTAGCTCCAGACCCTTGCATACCAAGAGATAACTGGGCAAAATTAGAAAAACCAACTCTGCACCCTGCCAAGTTCAAAGAAGCCCAGCTGGGGATTAGTCAATGAAATACAGTGCAGCAGGAACCACACCTTTCCAAGAACCTGGTGTCTTCAATGATCTCATTAACTTGCTCTAAACCTGCTTGGGATGACTAGCTGTGGTGGTTTGATACTATCTGGACACCGAGTGCTCACCAAAGCCACTCAATGCCCTCCTCAACTGGACAGGGAGAGAAAAATACAACAAAAGGGTCATGGGTTGAGGTCAGGGCAGGGAGAGAGGAGAGAGGTCAGTCACCAATTACAATCAGGCAAACCAGACTCAGTGAAATTAACTGAATTTGTTGCCAAAAAAAAACTTGATTAAAATAATAAGAAATAAACCCAAATCTTAAAACATCTTCCCACAACCCTCCCTTCTTCCTGGGCTTACCATAGCTCCCAAATCCTTTTTATCCTGCCGATCAATGCACAGGGAGATGGAAAAAGAGTTTACAGTGAGTTTACCATGCACTGATGCTCCTTCTCCCTGACTCTGTTCCTCTGCTCCAGCATGGGGCGCCTCCCATGGGGGACTACTCTCCATCAACTTCAACATGAGCTCTCCATGAACTCCAACCATGGGCTATGGCTCTTCAAGAACTGCTTCAATGAGTCCCTTCCACAGTGTGCAGTCCTTCAGGAACAGCCTGCCCAGTTTAGAACCCCACAGGGTCACAAATCCCAGGATGAAACCTGCCCCAGTGAGGCCTCTCTCCATGGGTCTCCTCTCTCCATCTTCTCTCTCCTGCCAGGAGCCTGCTCCAGCATGGGCTTTTCCAGGATCTACAGCCTCCTTTGGGCATCCCCATGCTCCAGTGTGAGGTGTCCATGGGCTGCAGGTGGCTTTCTGCTCCCCATCAATCTCCCATGACTCCAGGGGCTCAGGGACTTCACAACAGCTGCACCATGGGCTGCAAGGTAATCTCAGCTCTGGCATCTGGGGCACCTCCTGCCCCTCCTTCTTCCCTGACCTTGGGATCTGCAGAGATGTTTCTTTCACATATTCTCACTTGGCTCTCCCAGCTGCTTCTACACAGTAATGTTTCCCCCTTCTTAAATTTGTTATCCCAGAACAGCTACCTACCATCAACTATGGCCTCAGTCATGGCCAGCAGTGGCTGCACCCTGGTGCCAGCTGGGATTGGCATCAATGGACAGGGGAGGCTTGTGACAGCTTCTCACAAAAGCCATCCATATAGGCCCCTTCTCCCCTGCTGTGACAACTTTGTGACAACACAAACCCAAACCATCATCCACCCCTGCAAGGGAAGAATATGGATCTTTCAAGGCATGCTGTGACAGGGTACTGAGAATGCTGTCCATAGATTCTGCCTAAAGTCCCTAACAGATGTTCCTGTCTGACCCTTGACAATATGGCATTGCTTATGGTAAAAATTACATTGAATGTCTAAGGAACTTTTTACCCCAAACTGCTGAATACAGTCTGGTTCTTCTTCCTCATCTTCCTCTCACATAGGATTCTGTGACTTTTTATTGTGTACATACTGAACACTGAATGTATTCCCAGTATTTTCTGAAACCACCACTATGGCATCAACTAAAATGTCTTTTGTTTTCCTTGAAACTGTTTCAGGTGAGGAATAGATGCAAGGGAAGGAAACCTACTTTTTTATTCAGCTCATGCTTGAAAAAGTTGTCCTATAATGCATGTACCTGCCCAGTGTCAGCTAGTGTAAAAAATCCAGATATGAATGGTAATCTAAGAACTGCAGCTTGGTGTAAATCTTTGTGTCAATGGGGTTCTGTCAATTTGTCTTGATAAATATAGGCAGTTCTTCTATTTTTGTGTCTTCTGCTAACACTATAACGCTTAGATAGTCTGAATGACCTTGGTGTTGTGGTAGGAGAGCTATCAAGGATAAAATTCCTCAGATGTACCAGAAAAACATAAGAATTTTTGTGTTACCTCTGAGAGACAATCATACTCAGAGTGACTTCCAGCCATCAGTGTATCTGAGTTTACACAGGATAAAACCCTCCCTCTGCAACTATGTTCATGGGCTTGTAAAATTCAGTTGTTTTAGGGGTAGAACCCTCTGTGAAATATAGTGCCAGGGGCACTAAACTGGTAACACAGATCAGTCTTGTAGATATGAATTTTGATTTCATCTCATGATTCCTGACATGTGACATTAAGCCACCATTAATGCCACAACAGGTGACATTAAGCCAAATATAACCACTTATTCACAGTTTTGGAGAGCACACACATTAACTGGGTAAGCTATTCAGAAATTAGGGGAGGTTAAGAGAAGAAACTTGAATACAATATGTCACTTCTGCATTGTTATGTGGGACACACTAAAAGATCTAAGGAGGTCATGTTTAAAAATAGAGTAATAAAATTAGTACAGTGCTGTCTACCCTGCAGGGCTGACATGACCTGACTTGATGAAGCTGCACATACAGAATAGCTTTTATTTTTAGGGCACTCTATCTGGGATAACAATGACTCTGCTGATAGTGAAGCAGTGGGTATAGTTTGTCTTGATAGCTGCCACTTATTCTTGAAAAGAACAGAAGAGCATATTTAAGCTGTCTGGCCTTAATTGTTTCATTAAGTAGTGGAACCTTTTGTATAAAAGGAGCAAGGGAGCTGCTGAAAGAAAGAATGATGAGCAGCAATTCTTGAAGGGCACAAAGGTGCCGCAGGAGTAACTTCTCTTCCTTTGTTTCTTCCCAGTTCATCTTTGACAATAGGAGAAGTTTCATTTTTTAACATAATGACTGTTATTAAAACCAGCTTGAACAATTTCATGAGCACTACCGTGCGTATCTCCCATATTTTTAAATATAAATGAAACTAAATAATATTCATGCCTCTGAATCTGGCTTTTGTGTTTCAACATCTAATTTATTGATGACAAAGATGACTTGCATTACTAAATGTGTCTTTTGTCCTGTAGGATGCCAAAGTCTTTTTAGAGACAAAACATATATGTATGAATCACTTCACCTACCCTGTGAAGTTTAACCACCATTGGGGTGTAAGGTGTTTGAGTCTGCAAAGTAACACAAGAAATAATATTTAACTAGCAAGTAAAGAACATTAATCATATTAAAACAAGTTTATTACAGAACACCCACACATCTGAGAGCCTAATAACACAGCCTCTAATTGGGTAGTGGCACCAGTGTTGACCATCAAAGGTCTGAATTTACATACTGTCTGAAAGGACAGCTTTGGAGTGTACTTATGCTGAAAGAAGTATATATTTTTCCCTTCTTCGCTGGAAGGTAACCTGAGACAGAGAGAAATCTTTCCCATTGTAAAATAGAAAAACACAGCTAGCTTCCCACTTACACAGGCCCAGGAATTCAGATCTTTCCAACAAAGATCTGGTTGTATTTCATTACAAAATATGATCCCAAAGGTAGGTGGCTTTTCTCAATCATATTATTCTGCACTCCAGTTTTTTCTTCATATACAAAGGGTGGAATGTGATTAATGTCTACTCAACTCCTGCACTTCTACTTTGCAGAAACTGAAGGGAGGAGTTTTCACAGTTGTCCTCCTTTATCCTAAGGAGAGATGTCAGTAGCTTGGCTCTTTCTCCTGCATGGGTTGTGCTTCTCTGCCTTTTAAGATGAGTTAGCTGATTTGTTTTACATTCTATTTTTAAATTAATTCTTTTTAAGTAGGGAAGCATTTTCTTAGTCCACTTTTATTATTTTCTTCATGCATGCAGACATAGCCACAGCTGAGTTATACAAGACAGAGACCCTGGGTCTGATTCTCACCTATAATGAAGATTTGAACATATTGTTTTGACAGTATAAGTTGGTTAAAACCATCCCTAGCATTTATCCTGCACATGCCAGAGTACTGGAAAAGGCCTGATTGTAGACAAGAGTTCGGCTTTCTGGTACTTGAAGAATAATTTTAAAATCAGCTGTTTCTTTTGATGGTATGGTATGGTATGGTATGGTATGGTATGGTATGGTATGGTATGGTATGGTATGGTATGGTATGGTCTCCTGCCTGTTTTCAGTAATGGGTCTCCAAATAGATACAGGGGAAGAAAAGTTTGTTCTTCATCTGCTTTGGAGAGAAACTAGAAGAGCAGAGTGGAAGTGAGAAGGTGGAACCCTGCAGCTTTCCACCAAATGCCCACTTCTCACAGACTCAAACTCAGGGCATCTATTGATTTTAGTTCAGTTCTCACAATTTAAAATCATGAGAGGTCTGAAAAGAGTGAGGAGAACAGGGATATCAGAGGAAATTGGTCAAATTACATGAGAATTCTTTTGAAACCCTCCTTTGGGACTGCTGTTTCTGAAAACAGGAATTTTTAGAAAGCTGCTGCAGAGACCAAAGTAAGTAAAAAGGGGAAAGACTATTGCAAAGAGAGAAAATATTTTCATGCACTACAGTGGTATTGCCTGCTGCATTTGCATTTACAGTGAAAGAGCATAGGAAAAGAAGGTGAGTTGCAAGAGTCCTTAAATTAGTAATACAAGGTACTGGGTAGGGCTAGCTTTCTCTAATGAGCTTGCTACATAAAAAAGCTGATGTTAGTGTTTTATAGCTCTCTCCACCCAGAGGTCCAAGCCAAACTTTTGCTTTGAAGTTGAGTTACAGTTTCTGCCAGGTGATTCAGAATGATTCATTGTGTTGCCTAGACCAGTGTGATGCTTACTTGGTAATTTAAAATCTTCACAGTTCCTTAGATCTACATTGTAAATGCTTAAGGTGTTGGAGCTTATTAAGGTCTTAGGTTTCTGTCTAAATAGGTGTGAGCATTATTTGGTAGTCAGCTTTCTCTTAGTTATAAAAATGGTTCATGTTGTGCCATGATAAGGAAATGCTATTGTTACATATCCTACATAGTCAGTGTGTGAATCAATGCATAGGTAGTCCTAAGCAACTGATAAGTATGCAAATCAATTGAATTTCAAGTACTGGAGAAGGTGAAGAGCATGTTGAGAACTTGGTATATATCAGATTAAGCATTTTTGTTCTTGTGTTCTTTCATTTTACAGAACAGATCATAACACATTCCATTCTGTTTACTTTGTTAATTTTGAACACCTACAGTTTTTGCGGTGGAAACTATTTATTTGGTCTTGGACTCACTCTACTTCTGTTTTGTGCTCTGAATTCTAAAGGGTTCATTCCAGAGACTTCTGATTGTTCCTGTGCATCAGCTCCTACTGTCCTTGTATTATTTTCTTAGGATACGTAGTATGGGATTGATTTCCAGATTAAAATATCTGAGTTTAGCTGTCAGCAAGAGCTTTTGAACAGTAGACCTAATGCAGGTGCCTAATGTAAAGTCCATGTGGCTTTCTAGATTCTGCTGACCAGATTCTCATTGTCTATAAGGGGATTTTGGACAGCAAGCCTTTGCATAGCTGGGACGTAAAGTATTTATCACTTTATGCTTTGTGGTTTTGAGCCAAATTGCATTCTCAGGTGAAACAATGTTGAAGGTTGGGGGTTGATTTTGCTGAATTGCATAAATATTTAGATGCCCTGAAGTACCTAAGACATCTTCCTGAAGTGGTAGATGCAGCACATGAGGAGGCCTGTAGCCTTCTGGAGAGACAGATGGAGGCCAAGTGGGATACAGCATCACATCTGACGTGGCACCAGACGTCTAAGGGATGGGAACTGAGTCAGGGCCTTGGAGCCCATTCAATTAGCATCACTCAGCTGGCACTCCTCCTAGAACTAAATGCCCTTGGTCTTCACATGTACACCCTTTCATTTAAATTAACCCAGTAGTTGCTATAAGGACATTATTATTATTATTATTTAAAAAATCTTTATTCTAAGACTAAAGATGGTTGGGATGGTGAAGCACTTTGCTGAGGGCATTGCACAGAGCAGAGCAGAGCATACTTCTTGAACTGAAATCACTTCATTTGGATGTTGGCAATTCCTGAGCACAGCACAACTCACAGCTGAATCACCCGATGGAACCTGTTAAAATTTGATGGCAAAAAGACTGTAAACAGATAGCTAATGAGCCATCAGCCTTGAGCCTTACCTAGAGATACAAATCATAGAAAGGATTTATTACTGGGCAAAGTGAAATCACAGGAATATGGGAACTACTCACTTCAAGTAAGGTTTTTTCCCTTGTAACTTGTTATAATAATAATAATAATAATAATAATGTCTTTCTTGGTGTACTCTTTCTTCATACATATGTAAAATATAAATGCATGGGAGTAAATGGGTTTTGGTCACTCTTCACCCAAGTCACTTGCCAAGGCACATAACACCATTCCATCATGACGCATTGGGCCCTTCTTTCTTGCATCTGGGTTACAACTGCCTTTCTGTAAATCTTGTTAGACTGATCCCAGACAGTTAAAACAAAGTTGTTAGCTTTATGACCAAGATGCCTAACAAGGTCAGGCTGTTGTGAGAGACAGAGAATACCCTCTCCAAAAAGAGTTAAGTTTTTTAAATATTTTGGGGTTGGCAGCCTGTCCTTGGAGCCTACTCCACTGGGGCATCTTCCTTCATGAAACTATTCTGTAGTCAGTTTCCTCTTAGCTTGTTAAGTGACTCTCTCCTAATTTACAGCTCCTTATATGTTGCTCTTAAGAAACTGACATCTTTCTTCACTTCCTGACATTCAATTTGTCATAACTTTTCTTTCCTGTTTAGTCCATTAGTCTTTTTCTCACTCTTAACTGCTTCAAGATAGACATGCTGCAGCCGAAAAAAGTACTACGGCAATTCTGCATGTTCCAAAGCCTTGAGATATTAATTTTTTCTAATTTCTATAACTTCTTTACTTCTGATCGCCATCTCGCCTATCTGTAAAGCATCATCTTTTGAGCTTCGTAGCAACTAAACTTGACTCAGATGATTTTCATAACCTTGACAGATATGCATTGTTTAGTATGTACTTAGTATTGTCTTTCTTTTGACAGCTTCATTCTACTTCTGAAGCAAATTTCAAAAAACAGGAAGACATAAAAATTCAAAATGAATCACAAAGACCAATAAGAACTCACTATTTTAAATATCTGAAGACATAGCCGTGAATCTGGAAAATAAAAACAGGCAAATACGAAGGAAAACATTTTGAGTGACAGTTACTCAGGAGCACATGATTTTTAGAAACAACAAATAACTGCAGAACTAAAATGTGATAAAGTTAACTACATTATGGAGATGATCTTACATCTTACCAAGAGGGAGGGAGGGATGGAAGGGAGGAAGGG